GAGATTAAAATGGATCTAAATCCGAATAAGATCTGCACACGTTTCCGTAAAATTTAATGAAAGGGTGAGCATAATAAGCAAATGAATCGAAGGAAACCCGTCAACTCAGAGATCACCTGTCATCGAGTATTCCGTAAAAGGAGGCCTCCGCAGCGAAAAAGCTAAATTTAGAAAAGAGATCCTGTCAGCTTTTCCATATTTATTGCATTCCACCCAAAATCAGCACACTTTTCGTAAATGAAAGAGTCAACACAAGCAAATGAATCAAAGGGAACTCGTCAACTCACCTGTCATTGAGGAATGTTCCGCGAAAGGAGGTCTCAGCAGCTCCGAAACGAAACAGCTCATGCAAGAAGCAGTTCCAAAGAAGGAAGTTCCTCGTGCATGCACATCCGAAAAGGCAACAACAAAAGTCTGCAATGCACACGCATGCGGCAAGCCGGCCGCGCGATGGTAGGAGCCATGGAGTAGCTCCCTGGTCCAGGACCAGGTACCGAGCATCTTACGTAGAAACTTACGTAGCTAAGTAGACAACGTGTCTGAATAGCGGTGTCGTTAGGTAGCGCCATGTGAACACAATAATAGAAAAGCTGACAGGATCGCTTTTCTAAATTCAAATAGGGCTTTCAAATGCAAGATCACAATGTGAAGCAACTTGGAAGAATTAGTATGTATGCGAAGTATATCGGGGGATGCATGCAGGGCGCGCGATAGTGCGGGTTCGAATCCCAGGTTATTTATTATTTATTTATTTATTTATTTCACCTTCCCGTGGCCAGAGAATAAAGGCCAATATGGAGGGAGGGGGCGGTAGCCAGCCATGGCTGTAAACAAAAACAAAGCAAAAATAAATAAAATTACACATTACTGGAGGCAAAGAGAAACAAATCTGGATGAAGAATTAGCAGTTATTAGAACACGAGCTTCATGTTGGCCTTGAAATCCTTTAGCGTACAAGACGATTTTACTGATTGAGGCAGGGCCAGCCAGAGAGAATAGGCAGCGAAAAACGGAGATCTGGTATAAGCTGAGGTTCGGGCTTTAGGTAAAGTGCAGGGATTGCGCGTAGGACGAGTGGGAAGAAACCAGTTATATTTACGCAAGTGTGGCGGGGCTTTGTCAAGACGAATAAAATGAACAACGATACACAGTTTTCGATCCGCTTGACTAGAGATAGGGAAGGTGTTAAACATATCGTACAGCTCGGCAGAAGGAAAGTATGATGGTTTTCGGAAAAGGACTTTCAGTATCCTCTTATTGTGGACTTCCAGGGTACTCATTAACGATTTACTTAGTAGGGATGACCAGGGGGTTGAGCAATAGAGAAAAATGGGGAGAATATAGCAATGGTAAAAAAGGCGAATGCATTCAAGCGGTAGGCGGGAGCAGTGAGACACGAGGTAGCCAACAGCTTTACTGACTTTGCTACAGATATAGTCGACATGTCTACTAAACGATAAGTTTGAGTCAATGACCAAACCAAGATGTTTGTGTTTTACCACTGTGAGGTCTGTGAGGGATCCGGGAAGAGTGAATGCATAGGTTGGCTCTGAGTTCGGCAGGAATAATATCTCAGTCTTGGCGATATTAGGTCTTTAATAGTCTCCAGGTAGTCATCCACTGATGGACTTCGTTGATACCGCGCTGGAGACTGTCTCGCAGCCTGTCTAGACACTCATTGAACCGGAGCAGTGCAGTATCGTCAGCAAATAAGGACACACCTTCAACATGACTGGGAAGATCATTTATATACGCTAGGAAAAGGAGGGGCCCTAGAATGGATCCCTGGGGCACTCCGGACAGAACAGGTGAAGCATCTGAGAGAAGTCCACCTACAAAGACAACTTGCGTTCTGTCGGATAGGTAGTCTGTAATCCACTCCAACGCTGAGTCACACACACCGAAAACTTTGGAGAGTTTAGCAAGTAGTGCACGGTGCCACACGGTGTCGAAAGCTTTCTCGAGGTCGAAAAGCACATGGCAACTTTCCGCCCCATATGACGATGGTCGGCAGTGCTTTGGATCAGCTTGGTGAGCTGTAGAGCGGTCGAGTCAACACGACGAAACCCAGATTGCGCGGGATGCAGAGCAGGAGAAATATGATTGTATAATTGATTGAAGAAGAGCCGTTCGCAAAGTTTGGAAATACAGGACAGGAGGGAAATTGGGCGATAGTTACTAGCGTGAGATTTGCTGCCTTTGCACTTATAAATAGGCACAATTTTAGCCAGTTTCCAGTCAGTAGGAAACTTGCCTGTGGTAAAGGAGAAGTTAAATAGGCGGCTAAAGGGAAAGAAATCGCAGGAGCTAGCTTCTTTATCATATTGTTCGTGATACCATCTAGCCCTGGCGCTTTCCCAGATTTCAGGTTTGGGATGGCTTTACGAACCTCTGCTGTAGTGATATGAACGCGGGTGAATTGGCGAGTAAGACGAGTGTCAAATTGGAGAGGGGGTATTACTAAACGTGGGTCATCTGGCACTGCGACAGAGGTAAACTGCTTGTTGAGGATGGTTGCTTTTTGGAAGCTGTCAGACACCAGCAGCCCATCAGGGCTTGCAATGTCAGGGATGCCAGGTTTTACTTTGTGCGGTCGCTGACTGCTGAACTGGTGAAGCGTAGTGCTGCCTGAGGTAAGTGTTGTTTTGATTGAACGAATGTACTGGCGGTGGCACCAGCGGGAGAGATGTCTCACCTGGTTCCGCTGTACCTTATATGCTGATAGGTTGTAGTCCCTAGGGAATTTCTTGGAGAGGCTGAATAGGTCACGCTTCAACTTGATAGCCTTGCGTAGTTCAGTGGAAACCCATGGATGATATTTGCGCGTAGACCCTGGGGTCGAGGGAGTTCGATTTGGTTTGCGGGATCTATGAAGGGGAACATACTTGGACAGCACAGTCTGCAGGACACTGTGCAGGTTACTAAGTGCACTGTCCACGTCTGAGGATATTAATGAGTTCCAAGGGACTGAGTCTAAGTCTGCATTGACCGCCTCTCACACAGCAAGTGTAACGTGTCGAAGATCGAAAGACATAGGGTTAGGCTCCTGAGCTTGAGACGTTGTTTCGCGGGGAGACTGAGGCAGGGGGATGTCGAACTGGCAGTACACAATGGCATGGTCTGAGGCGCCCAGAGGGCAGTCAGTTTCGACGCAAGACGAGAGATTGGCACGGTTACTAAACACCAAATCCAAGCAGGCTTGGACACCAGAGGGTGACGTGTATGTACATGTGTTGACGAGTTGGTGAAGACCAAATGGACTGAGCGTGCGATACAATTCAGCACCGGCAGTATTGGTGGAATCTGTCGAACACCATGACGTGTGCTTGCTGTTAAAATCACCTGTCAAGATAACGTGAGAAGATGAAAGAGGAAGAGTAATGGGTACGGCTTCGAGAGTCTGGCAGTACCTTGCTATATCTGTTGGCTTAGCAGAAGGTGGACGATAACTGCAGCAGAGGAGGATCGGCTCAGCTGCAGCCGGATACGGTTGCAGTTGAACCCAAACGGCTTCGCACCCATCGCGAGCTAGATCGGAACGCATGGCAACAGACTTAAACTTATTCTGTCGAACAAGGATAGCTACACCACCATAACCTCTTGCACTTGTCCCGGACTTATTCTCTGCAGGGGGCCTGTCCCTCCGGAAGGTGTCATAACGCGTAATATTAAGTGCAATATTCGGGTCGAGCCAGGTTTCAGTTAGGCAGATTATGTCAGGCTGCCACTCTTCAGCAACAATAGTAAGCTCTGTACACTTATTCACTACAGAACGACAGTTTGTTGATAGGAGTGTGAGCTGGGGTGGTGTAGAATGCTGGTGAGTGGGAAGGGAGTGTCTGGTAGGAAAGAATGGGTGTGCGTGTGGGTTCAGTGAGGAAGGTGGGTGTGGGTCCAATTGCATGGTTTAGTTACTAGCAGACTGATCCAAGGTTGTGCTGTCAGATGCAAATCTCCATTCCCTGATAGAAACTTTGCTTGGCCAGAAATCTTCTTCGAGAACCTGTTATGCCTTAAAAAAAGGATTTTTTTAAAGAATTTATAACATCCCTATGCTTTTATTTTGTCTAGGTCATCGAGGCAAAAAAGCATAGCGTAGGGCCCTGAGCTTCCAAGCTCTCTCGTTTCTTGCGCATGCGTTTGTAGAATGACGTAATACTCAGTGAGTCAGGTCGCTACATTGCCCCTGCGGCTTATACACCGAATATGCTTGCACGAATGAATGCTTAGCATACATCAGTCTGCATGTTGACGTCATGTGACATGTCTTTCGACTTAGCTTCGCGCCTGTGTTGCTATCCTGGCACTTTTACTAGTTTTAGTGCGCGGGCTACACCATACGGTACGCGTATACGGGGACTCTATTTATCATAATCTGATCTAACATGGTATTTAGCTCCATAACCATAATAAATTTGTAGAAAGACCATTTGTAAATGAGTGTGAAAAATCTTGGTTTGTGGGTGCGGCTTATACTCCGAATACCATCTTTTAGTCAATATTTAGCCTCAAAAAGGGGGGTGCGTCTTATACCCCGGAAAATAAGGTAAATTTGTTTTGAGTGATAGATCTTTTACTCGTGTCAGAATGGCAGTTCAGCGCTGAAGAACAACGTGTAGTGTTGACACTGATAAAGAACAGTAGGAGTGCTCATTTATCACTTAAAACGACAAGATTCTCCCCTGGCAACACAAATCTTTTTGTGCGACAGTTGATGCAAAGGTCCATGACAGTTTGAGATGGTGACAGCAAGTTGCTATGTACTTGAAGTGGAGAATATACATAAAATTGTCACGCATTGCTGGCTGCCATAATTATGGCAGTCCCATTTTGTTATTGTTATCAACTAATATGGCTTTTCACACTTGAACACGATATTAAAGTACACAGAGCAAACCATTCTGCATTCGTAATTTTAAATTCACTGCGTGAAGTGGCTACCAGTACTATTGGCTCGGTTATGCCATTTCTCTTCCACAGTTGTTGCAGTTCAGTGGAAAATGGAAGACTTGGAGGAATCGAAGTCTAACTGTAGTGTGGAATCTAATAAACTGCCACCAATGCGGACAATGATGAAGTCAAAGATTAATGTGCGCGACCAGAGTTCTAGACAGCATGGTCCATCGTCCGTTCCACCATCTTCAGGGTCAAACACTTGCGAAGCAGACACGGAGAAAGCGTCGTGTATGAGATCAGCTTCATTGGGAAACAGAGAGGGCATGAGTATTATACCCCCTGAATATACCAGTAGCATATTTCCTGTTTCTCCTCCGCCATTGACAAAATGGAAGATGAACACAATTCTTTCAGCCAGTATTTCTAATCGTCCACCAGCTTTCGAAAAGACATACCCCACCGCCGGAAAAAGCGAAAAGGATGAAGCAACGGCTAGTATGCCGCCTGAATTGGAAGACGTGGAGAACCGGACTTCTGCATTCAGCGCGTATGATGATCGTGTATCGCCTGTGAAACCATCTCCTCAGATTGCAGAGGACTCCTTAACTCCAGCCCCAGCGTCAAATACTGGAGTTTCTGTTGGAAGGCTGCGTGAAACATCGGAGCAACGTCATGTGTGCGACATGGCAGTTGGAAGCAGGAGTCCTATTCGACAAAATTCGAACTCTTCTAATGTTATGGCTCAGAAGCAGGATCAGTGCAAGCGTTCTAAGTGTAAGACATCACAGATGTGTCAGTTTTGCCCAAAGGAGTTCAAGCACGCTTCTGGCCTCCGCAAGCATGAACGTGTTCATACTGGAGATCGGCCATTCAAGTGTAATGTATGCGGGAAATGTTTCACTCAGTCATGGAGTCTATGTGTTCATAAACGTACTCATACTGGAGATCGACCTTTCAAATGTGACGTATGCGGGATGTGTTTCTCTCAGTCAGGCCATCTATGTGGTCATAAACGCATCCATACCGGAGAGAGACCGCACAAGTGTAAGACATGTGGCACATCGTTCACTCAATCGTGTAATTTACGCGTACATGAACGTATTCATTCTACATAAAGACTTTTTACGTGCAAGACATGTATAAGGTCATCCACACAGTCATCCCAAATACATGACCATGAACGTATACATACAGGAGAACGTCCATATAGGTGCTAATAGTGCTCAAAGTTCTTCAGAACATCGGCATGTCTTCGTAGACACGAGCGTATTAATAACAGAAAATGAAAAGCCTAAATTATCGTTAGAAAGTTCTTTACTATGTGTTACAATGCATTTCGGCTCTTCCTGCTCATGTATTCTACGATAAAGAGAGATGGAGATAGATAGAGAGAGAGAGAGAGTGTGTGTGTGTGTGTATGTGTGTGTGGAAATCGCTGCGCATACCACTGCACCATATGGGACACATATACATAGGTTGCGGGTTCGATTCCCGAAGATTATGGTCACACACGCCTTTCTTTTCTTTCTACCAACAGCCAGTGCATGCCGGCGTATGTGGTGTGATGTGTGTGCGGGGAAAAAAAGGAAGACCAAAAAAGACCAAAAAAATTGGGATTCACCGGCCACAAAAAGTCACTTCAAATAGCTGTATGGTGTAGACCAGGCTGAATAGTGACGGTCAATTCTTCAGCATTGCAAGCTGTTGAATGGTGCAATCCCAGCACAAGTTGATATGGTTTCTGCCGTTGCATTGTTATCTTCGCCTCCGGCGATGGGCGTCAAAGGTCAAGGGTGTGTGTGTGTGTGTGTGTGTGTGTGTGTGTTTGTGTGTGTATGTGTGTGTGCCTGTGTGTGTGTGTCTGTGTGCGCGTGTTGTCTGCCAGAAAGCTTGAATACATACGCAGCAGTTTGAAGCAAAGTCCATTTCTTTATGCTATTCACACCAGTCTGATCGTAACAACACACACGCAATATACAATGATAGTCCAGAATCACAAGCTGATGTGAAATATGTTGTTCCGTATATCTGTTCTATTCCGTGGTCTCATTCTCATGTATAATGTCAGAAGTTGAATTAATAATATTAAAAAAAAAAATTTCACGGTTCGCGTGAGACTCGGCTGAAAGCCGAGTTTTCCGCATCCGCCGTGGGAACGCCACCACCCTCTAGGATCAAAGGCGCAGATACAGCGCCTAAACGGTGGGAGGTGAGTAGATCAGACCCACCACCAAGTGGTCAAAGACCGAAATCCCATTAGCTGCATCCATGTTACCCTCGTGCCAGGCCACGAGTTCCCAATTAACTGTGGGTCGCAGCACGGCTGGAAAAATTCCTTCCGCTTCCAAGCAGGACTTGAACCTGGTACCCTCTGTTTCTCAATCATGGTCTTAGACCATCCCACTATGTATTATTCTAGTACAAACTTTGATCTGAGAACATTTTTTCTTTCAGATCGTAGATACAATGTATGTGTGAAGGCTGTTTTGCCTTTTAAAGATAGTGTGTCTGAGAAAACTAGACAAAGTTGGCAAGCCAATCTCTCCGGTTTCGCTTAGAATATGGAAGCACATTTCCTGGTGTAGATCGACTGTGCAAAGCCGCCTTGAGAAGCTCTCTGAAGGGTACTTTGAAATTGGCATGCCCTCAAAAATGGTTAAAATATCATATGATTTATGGGACTGTGAACGAGACATGCCTCAGCGTATTTATTATTATTATTATTTTTTTACAAAGACCACTTAATGCCAAACATGAGATGCAGCTAGGGGAAGCACGCACAACCTGAATCGTGGCAGTGGTGGTGAGGTTTAGGGAGCTCCGCCGACCTAGGGTCTCGACTTCATAGCCACCTAGACGCACCAAGAGTGGGTGGGGAGGGAGAGCGAGAGAGAGAGAGAGAGAGAGAGAGAGAGTAAGCTACGAATAAAGCTCCATCAAGCCCGAATTGCCTGACCTAAGACGAGTTCCTTGGGCAGAACCACTTAACCACGCGAGCGTCCAAGAAGATCCATTACCTCCTGACGAAACAAAATTAAATGATCGTGTTGAAAATAGCCGAATTACAAGGGCGGACAAAATAGAGAGTTACGTCCTCCTTTAGCAAAAATCATTCATTGGCAGATAGTAGAACACCTGTTCTACCACTGAGGACATGTCCCCCATCCTCCTTTTTGCAATAATAATTTTTATTTTTTCCACTTCGCCATCCTGAAATACAATGTACATCCAAACTCATAACTGTGAAGGAAAGCTCATCCCACCGCGATGTTTGGTCAGTAATAGACCTTTTGCATTCTGTAAACGTAAATATTTGGTGAGTGATACATCCTTTACTTGTGTCAGAATGGCAGTTCAGTGCTGAACAACAACGTGTAGTGTTGACACTGACAAAGAACAGTAGGAGTGAACATTTATCACTTACGAGATACTCCCCAGGCAACTAAATCGTTTTGTGCGACAATTGATGCAAAAGTCCATGAACGCTTGAGATGGTGACAGCCAGTTGCCATGAGCTTGAAGTTGAAAAACAAACGTATAACTGTCACGCATTGCGAGCTGCCAACCTAACTAGGGCAAGCCCATTAATTTATTGTTATCAACTACTATTGCTTTTCACGCTAGAACACGATATTATAGTTTACGGAGCGAACCATTCTGTACCCGAAATTTTAAAATCACTGTGTGAAGTGGCTACGAGTAATATTGGCTCAGTATACAATTTCCCTTCCAGAGTCGTTGCAGTTCAGTGAGAAATGGAAGACTTTGAGGAGTCGACGTCTGCCAGCAGTGTGGCATCTAATGAACTACCACCAATGCCGCCATTGATGAAGTTGAAGAGGAATAAGCTCAACCAAACGTCTAGAGAGCATGGTCCATCGTCCGTTCCACCATCTCCTGCGTCAAACGTTTTAGAAGAAACCATGGAGAAGCCGTCGTGTATGAGATCCGCTTTACTGGAACACAGAGAAGACACGAGTAGTATTCCCGTTTTATACCAGTAGCATAATTTCTGTCTCTCCTCCGCCATTGATAAAATGGACGAGGAACACAATTCTTTCAGCCAGTATTTCTAATCGTCAACAAGCTTTCAAAAAGACATTCCCAACCGCCGGAAAAAACGAAAAGAATGAAGCAACGACTAGTATGCCGCCCGGATTGAAAGACGTTGAGAACCGGATTTCTGCATTCACCGCGTATGGTAAACGTGTATCGACTGTGAAACCATCTCCTCAGATTGAAAAGGACTCCTTAACTCTAGCCACAACGTCAATTACCGGAGTTTCTGTTGGAAGGATGCGTGAAATATGGGAGCAACCTGATGCGCTTGCCATGCCGGTTGAACGCAGGAGTCATATCGAACAAAATTCTGCCTCTTCGAAAGTTATGGCTCAGAATCAGGATCTGCACAAGCGTTCTAAGTGTAAGACATCACAGAGGTGTCAGTTTTGCCGAAAAGAGTTCAAACAAGTTTCTCGCCTCCGCCAGCATGAACGTGTTCATACTGGAGATCGACCATTCAAGTGTGATGTATGCGGGATGTCGTTCTCTCAGTCAGACACTCTATGTGCTCATAAACGTACTCATACCGGAGAGAAACCGCACTAGTGTAAGAAATGTGGCACATCGTTAACACAATCATCCAGTTTACGCAGACTTGAACGTATCCATTCTGCATAAAGACCTTTTTACATGCAAGACATGTGTGAGGTCATCCACACAGTCATTCTAACTACATGACCATGAACGTATACAGACAGGAGAACGTCCATATAGGTGCAGAGAGTGCCGAAAATACTTCAGAACATCATCAAGTCTTGGTAGACACTAGTGTAGTCATATCATAAAATGAACAGCCTAAACTTCGTTAGAAAGTGTTTTACTATCTGTGAAAATGACCTTCTTCTCTTCGTGCTCATGAATTGTAAAAATATAATACAGAGAGAGAGAGTGTGTGTATGGGTGTGTGTCTGTCTGTCTGTCTGTTAGAAAGATAATATAGATTCACACCACATTAAACAAAATTAAATCATCAATCTAGACTATGATAGTCCAGAATCGCAAGCTGATGTGGATTATGTAGTTCTGCATTTCTGGTCTATTCCATGGTCTTGTTCTCATGTATTATGTCAGAAGTTAATAGTATTATTCTGGTATAGCCTTTGAACTCAGAAGGTTTTACTTTATATAGAAAGAAGATATGAGCGAAGGCTTTGTTGACTGAGCATGTCTGAGAAGACTACAACTTGTAGACAATACTTCGAAGTATGTGCAAGTGGATCTCTCCGATTTCGCTCAAAATTTGCAGGCACGTTTCCTTGGTGTGTAGATCGACTGTGCAAAGCCTTCGAAAAGTAGTTTGAAAGGGAACTTTGAAATTAGCATACCCTCACAAATGGTCAAACATCACATGATTCATGGGTCTGCAAACGAGACTTGCCACAGTGGGTGTGTACGAATATAACTCCTTCAAGCCGTAATTGCCTGACCATAGAAGAGTTCCTGGGGCAGCACCGCTTAGCCACGCCAGAATCCCAGAGAGATAAGGGCGATCATCCCCTGACGGAACAAATGATCGTCTTGAAAATATTCATATTTCCAGGGGAGACAAAATAGACAGCCACGCCCTCCTTTAGTAAGAACTATTCATTGGCATATAGTAGAACACCTCTTTTAGCACCGACGACCCCATCCTCCCTTTTGCGTGTTCCATAAAATTGTTTTTGAATTTTTCCAATCCACCATGCTGAAATACAATGTACATCCAAACTCATAACTGTCCAGGAAAGCTAACTCCTCCGCGACTTCTAGTCAGCAATAAACCTTTTGCATTCTGAAAAGTAAATATTTTGGTGAGTAATAGATACTTTACTTGTGTCAGAATGGTAGGTCAGTGCCGAAGAACAATGTGTAGTGTTGACACTGACAAAGAACAGAAGCAGTGATCATTTATCACTTAAAACGAAAAGATTCTTCTTTGGCAACTAACACCTTTTGTGCGGCAATTAATGCAAACGTCAATGACACCTTGAGATGGTGACATCAAGTTGCCATGTACATACTTGAAGTGGAGAATATACGTAAAATTGTCACGCATTGCGGGCTGCCAGAATTATGGCAAATCCGTCATCAACTAATAATGGCTTTTCACACTAGAGCACGATATATTGGCTCGGTTATGCAAGTTCCCTTCTAGAGTTGTTGCGGTTCTGTCTATGAAAAATGGAAGACTTTGAGGAGTCGAATTCTGGCTGCAGTGTGGATTCTAATGAATTACCACCAACGCCGCCATTGATGAAGTCAAAGAAGAATATGCTCGACCAAAGGTCTAGACAGCATGGCCAATCGTCTGTTCCACCATTTTCTGAGTCAAAAATTGGCGAAGCAAACATGGCGAAAGCGTCGTGTATGAGATCCGCTTCACTGGAAAACGGAGAAGACACGAGTAGTATACCCCCTGAGTATACCAGTAGCACGTTTCCTGTTTCTCCTCCGCCATTGCTAAAACGGGCAAGGAACACAATTCTTTCGGCCTGTATTTCTAATCGTCAACCAGCTTTCAAAACGACACATGGGACCGAACGCAAAAGCGAAAGGGATGAAGTTACTTCTAGTGCACCAACAGCAATGGAAGACGTCGAGAACTGGACTTCTGCGTTCAGCACCTATGATAAACGCGCATCGCCAGTGAAACCATCTCTTCAGATTGAAGTGGGCGTCTTAACTCCAGCCACAGCGTCAAACACTGGAGTTTCTGCCGGAAGGACACGTCAAGCATCAGTAGAACCTGATTCGTGTGACATGCCAGTTGAACACAGACGTCCTACCCAACAAATTTCTGACTCTTCTAAGGTTAGGGCTCAGAATCAGGATCCGTCCAAGCGTTCTAAGTGTAAGGCATCACAAATGTGTCAGTTTTGCAAGAAGGAGTTTAGGAACGTTTCTCATCTCCGCGAGCATGAACGTATTCACACTGGAGATCGACCATTCAAGTGAGATGTATGCGGCATGTCTTTCTCTCGGTCAAGCACTCTATGTGTTCATAAACGTACTCATACAGGAGAGAGACCGCACAAGTGTAGGACATGTGGCACATCGTTCATGGATTCGTCAAATTTACGCCAACATGAACGTACCCATTCTGGAGAAAGACCTTTCAAGTGCAAGGCATGTGTAAGGTCGTTCACGCGGTCAAGCAATCTACGTGACCATGAACGTATTCATACAGGAGAACGTCCGTATAGGTGCGAAGAGTGCGCAACGGTTTTCCAGTGTGCATCAAGTCTTCGTAGACACGAGCGTACTATTCATGACATAAAATGAAAAGCCAAAATGTCGTTTGAAAGTGTTTTACTATGTGTAACAATGCATTTAGCCTTTTCGTGCTTTCAATTTCTAGGAACAAGAGCGAGAGAGAGAGAGAGAGAGAGAGAGAGAGAGAGAGAGAGAGAGCGAGAGAAAGAGAGAGCGAGAGAGAGAGAGCAAGAGAGAGAGAGCGAGAGAGCGAGAGCGAGAGAGCGAGAGCGAGAGAGAGAGCGAGAGAGAGAGAGAGAGAGCGAGAGAGAGAGAGTGCATAAAAGTGAGGGAGTGAGTGTGTGTGTGTGTGTTTGAGAGTGTTTGTGTGTGTTTGAGAGTGTTTGTGTGTGTTTGAAAGTGTTTGCGTGCGTGCGTGTGTGTGTGTGTGAGAGAGAGAGAGACAGAGACTGTCTGTGTGTGTCTGTCAGAAAGTTAGAATGCATTCCCACCAGTTTGAAAAAGTCCAAAAAAAGCCTACGATGCTATTCACACAAGTCTGATCGTAGCCACACATGTGATAGACTTTGGTAGTCCAAAATCGTATTCTGAGGTGGATTATTTTGTTTTGTATTTGTGTTGTAATTAAGGATCTCGTTCTCAGGTATGATATGTGAAATTAATAAATCTGCCAAGCCTAGGGTCACCAAGACAGGTATCCTTACCCAACCGATCCTGTGTTGATAATTGTTTTTAGTTCTCACGAAACTTCTGCTGAAACCTGCAGAAAAAGGGCACATTTGAGAACTTTTAAATCCTTTCCATAACGGACAGCCTAAAACGACATTTACTAATGATTGAGGCAGACAATACTGAAGGCAATAGCCTAACTATTACATGTAGTATCTCGAGAGAAGGTAATGACCGTCAGCTAGCCTCGCCCTCTTGCAGGTGAAGAACGTTTTGAGATTCTTTCCACCATGGACAGTCTGTAAAGTCATTCGCTGATGATGGAGGAAGAAAATTGCGAAGGGAAGAGCCTGACACTAATAGCTATAGAACTGAGGTAACGATCGTCAGATATTCTGACCCTCTTGCAGGTGAAGAATGTCCTCTAAGCTGCAGCACATATCAATGTTTCTACTGGTGCAGTACATGTAGTCACTTTCTACCCTTTACTCGCGTGTTGACAAGCTGACTTGGAAGAGAGAGAGAGAGTGGTGTTCGAACAGTACGCCGGGACTCTGGCACGCCCAGAAGAATAATAAACTAAGGACTTTGATATAGCTATGTTGGTTGCGTGATGTCTGCGGCCTTCATCCTATTCATAGCTATATTAAAATTATTATCTCCACGTAGATTATTTGTAAGGACTTTGAAGTGGATTTAAAAAATAAAAACAATACAAAAACGAAACAGTAATCCCCACAAACGGAAACAGCTACACAATGACAAAATCCGACCAAAAAAAAATAGAAATGAAAATAATGCCTACAAGAAACACAAATCGCACACAATCACACCAAAATTTAACGCATCAAACCAGAAGGTACTCAAAAAGCGCCAACGGGACTTGCAAAGACACAGCAATAAAAAATAGAGTCAATGAGTCAAAGTGAGTCAAAAGAGAGTCAATTTAGGATTCATCAATGCGGCAGGTGAGCCGCAGGTCTTTTCTCCGTTTGACAGTGACACTGCGAAGGAAACACTGGATGAACACAGTATTTTCTTGCATGGTTTGCACGGGACTTAGCGCCGGCGGATTATGCTCGCGATATCATGGAATTAGGACTTCATGGATGCTCGCATTATGCTCGCAGAATCTTCACATTATGCTTTGGCAAGTGAGAACATTATTCACTTTGTTGTTCTTATGGAGCCTCAAAGGTCGGAAAGGTGGGTGTTTTCGTACTTGCAAGTAGCGCATGGCCATACTCAGTACACAGAAATAGAGTATCCCCAGACCAAGGTGTCCATGCATGCCAGAGATCAACATAGAACATGGAAAACATCACATTACTTCTTATATTCATTAGTGGAAATATTTTGAAAAACATATTTCATTGCCAAATTAGTTTGTAGAAGAAATAAATTGACCAAGGAACTACAAGTCACGCTAAAATGTGCTCTCACTCCAGCAGTTACAAAACAATCAGCTCATAGTTTGAGTTACCTTTGAACATTGCCATGTTTAGTTCTACGTGCTCGTAACCGTCATACTCGTTCCACATGTCAACCTCACCTTGCGAATAATCTATTCATCTCCCCCGTAGCTCCTTCCATCATGAGATTGAGAGAACATCAGCTATGCCTCTAATCCTGAGTGGTTCACAGAGTGCTCAGTACCGAAACGCAGAGCTAGTTCAAAAAATGGTATTATTTATACAAAAGAGAATGACCAAGGAAATACAAGTTACGCTATACTGTCCACTAACTCCACCAGTTACTAAAAAATCAGCTCATGCGATAACATTGCACGACACTGACCGGTAGTACTGACGTTCTACAACTAACTGGCTAAAAGCTCTAGAACATCTTGGATGCGCACTCCAACAGCCTTTCAACTTGGAAGGTTCTAAGTTATAGAAATAACAGAAGGAGGGGAAGGTTAGTAACTGGTGGTGTTAGTGGACAGTATAGCGTAACTTGTAGTTCCAACTACTAACTTTCTCTTTTGTATAAATTAAACCTTGGCTCTCCATCTGAATGGTATTATTATTATTATTAGTAAATTGTTGCAACTTGTATTGTGGCAACACTGGCCAAGACTCAGATGCACTGCTTCTTCACACAGCTGAACAATTCTTCTTTCTTCTCAACGTTTCGGTCACTCTGACCATCTTCAGGATGAAGCAGACACGGCAGGAAGGCAGACTTTAAAACAAGCTGGCTAGGTGCGTGCGGAATACAGCGGGGAAAACAAAGCAAAAAATGTTAGCACTGTCCACACTACTGTAGTCATGTGGCTGTTGCCGGAGTTTTTTTCTCTCGCCTGAGAGTGTCCCCCTCCTCCCCCTCCCCCTGCTGTATTCCACAGGTTGTACATAATTGTCACCGCCCTAGTCTCTCACACGCAGGACTTGCACCCCTATTGTGATCATGTGGCATGTGTCATTTTTCGCTTGGGAGTTGTTGTTTTTTGTTTTGTTTTGTTTTCCCCGCTGTATTCCGCACGCACCTAGCCAGCTTGTTGTTTTAAAGTCTGCCTTGCTTCCGTGTCTGCTTCATCCTGAAGATGGTCAGAGTGACCGAAACGTGGAGAAGAAAGAAGAATTGTTCAGCTGTGTGAAGAAGCAGTGCATCTGAGTCTTGGCCAGTGTTGCCACAATACAAGTTGCTATAATGAAGCTGCGTGAAGCGTCGTTCCGAATTTATAAATATTGTTTATACGCATTCCCGCGTTGCAGTGTAGCAGCAGTATGCTGCCTCAACAGCTTCGCTTATGCAGTATGGCTTGGGTGAGAGGAGAGGGAGAGAAAGCAACAAGGCAACCAACATCTATGAAATAGGTCACAATAACATGAAGAGAACCAACCTACATATGCATGATTGCACAAGAATGGAGCCGACAAATGGATATAAATATTGTGCCACAAAACCGGTACACAGAAGATCTGTCGACAATGTAACGAAACATAAAACTCAGTTACGCAATACAGGCTCCACTAAAATACAAGAGAACAACGCTACAACATTAGAATTGCCGCTAAATTATCGCAAGTGCAGAGAACGAGCCCAATACAAATGAAAACCATGAAAAGACTGTCCCGAAGTTATTTTGGGAGCAAATTGTACTACAAGTACATGTACTCTTGCTGACACAAAATGTTGGGTTAGCTTTTGGGCTAACCCTAGTTAGCGATAAGACCGATGCGCTGCTCTCTATCTCATGCTAGCTGCGATCGAGCTGGCTTTACACGTGCACTCAACTGCTGCGCATGCGCGCCCAAATCGCCTTGGGTAGCTCTTGCTGCGCTGACTTTGGCTTGCGCTTTCCTTTGCAGTGTCACTGAGCAGCAACCGGAATTTGTTTGTTGAGAATAGAATTAATTATTCAGACTCCTTGTAGATTCCTCGCAGCCGTTTACTGCACGACAAACATGTTGTCTACCTCTGAAGCACGCCGTATGAACGTGTCGGACTTGCGGGCCGAGCTGGAAGGCCGTGGGCTGAATTCGAGCGGAACAAAGCCCCAGCTTCTTGCCCGTTTGCTGCTCAGTATCCAGGACACGTCGAGCTCGGCGGCACGGGAACCTCGATCTCCGTCGGCCACGCCATCCTCGCGGCAGGAGCACGAGCAGGAGCAAGAGCAGGATCTGGAGAGTGCTGCAGCAGGTTCTCCGACTCCCCAGATCCCGGACCGGAGCAGTAATGACGATTTGCGCCAGTTTGTGCGGCAGGAAGTACATTCCGCCGTCACCGTTGCCTTGTCGGAGGCGATCGCTCCAATGCTGGCCACCATCACTGCCCCTGGATCCGCTGGAACTCAACCTTCGGCGGAGTCTTCCAACGCTGGTAATCTCTCCGTTCCCCAGACTATACGAGAGAAAATATTGAAGGGTGACTTTGTAGATTTCACCCAGCTGCTGCCCGATACTATCGCCACCTCGTATTCTGCCCCACGCCAGCTTCAGCTGCAGTTCAGCAGTGGCGGCCAGTCTCTGGAGGTGGTGGAAGGTGGAGCGGCGCAGCCCGTTCGTCGACGCGTCCACGACTTGCCGACATGGCTGGAGGCATGGACTCTCTTCATGAACGTCGTGTGTTCTGCCAACCCGTCCCGCCTGCAGGAGATGCTCTCCTACCAAGCCACCATAGTTGCAGCCAACAGGCAATACTATCCGGAGGCTTGGCTGTCGTACGACACCCAGTTTCGCTCTGCCATTTCTGCTCAGCCAGGCAAGCGCTTTGACGTCATCGACATAAATCTGTGGCAAATGTCCGTGACTAGCCGATCAAGGCCCACATGTGAGTCCTGCCGCCTCATCCATCCCGGAGCCGGCCAGTGTCCCTTTCGTCCGCAACGTAACAACCAGCAAGCCTTCAATGGAGTCCGTACGGTGTCTAATGGCCAACCGATCTGCCGGAACTTCAACGCTGGGCGGTGCAGTCTCAGCACGTGCAAGTACGCCCATGTCTGCAACCGCTGCGGGTCCAAGGACCACAACGGATCTAAGTGCGGTAGGCGCCAGTAACTCTGCTGCTTTGGCTGCAGCTCCCGCGATTGTACATATTTCTCCCTGCACTTCACGTTCTACTGATTTCACAAGCGCATGTCCTGCTGTCCACACACCCCTCTCTGTTTCTCGCTTCGAATCACTGCTCCGTAACCACCCTGACAGTTCATTGGCTTCGTATGTTATTAACGGCCTCCGCTGCGGCTTTGACATTGGCTTTACCGGCAACCGCATAACTAACCAGCACTCGTCCAACCTCTCATCAGCATTCCAGCACTCTGCATTTGTGTCTGCACAGCTCACCGCTTCCTGCAACGCCGGCTACACGGCTGACTCGCCCCCATTCCCATTTATATACTGCTCTGGCATTGGCGCTGTTCCGAAAAAGAATGGCAAGCTACGCTTGATACACCACCTGTCCAGCCCTGCCGGCTCCAGCGTTAACGACGGGATCCCTGCCGAGCCTTTCTCTTTGCAGTACATCAGCATTGATGAAGCCATTAACATCATTATGTCCTCCCCGTCTCCTGTCTATCTCTCTAAACTCGATGTGAAGAGTGCTTTTCGTCAAATACCTGTCCGCCCACAGGATTGGCATCTCCTCGGCATCCTGTGGCAGGGGAAGTACTACTACGACCGTGTCTTGCCATTTGGGCTCCGCTCTAGCCCGGCGGTATTTGATGCAGTGGCAGCCACCATCGAATGGATAATGCACCACGAATTCTCCATCCCTAATTTGCTGCATTTCCTGGACGACTACTTGTGCGTGAGCGTGGGCCAGGCAGTGGCGAATCGGCAGCTGGCCATTCTTCTCCGTGCATTCTCATACCTCGGAGTCCCGCTCGCGCCTGCAAAGGTGGAAGGCCCGTCTCGTACCCTGACATTCCTGGGCATTATCCTGGATTGTGAGAAGATGGAAGCCCGGCTCCCTGACGACAAATTGGCCGACATCAAGCGCCTGTTGACTGCAGCGAGCATCAACCCCACCATGTCTCAGCGCGAACTCGAATCTCTTCTGGGGAAACTCTCCTTCGCTGCAAGAGTCATCGTACCCGGCCGGACATTTATGCGGCGCCTGTGGTCTATTTGCAGTCGCTACCAGCAGCCTCACTACCGCATCAGTCTGACTACCGAGTGCCAGGAAGATATCCAATGGTGGCTACGGCTCCTGGAACAATGGAACGGAAAATCATTCTTCCTGTTCCCAGATTGGACACCATCTCCAGACTTGGAGCTGTTCACTGATGCCAGTGGCACCCTGGGCTGGGGCGCATTCAACAGCGGCCGCTGGCTTCAAGGGACCTGGTCGCCTGAGCAACTCACTCACAGCATTGAGTGGAAGGAGCTCTACGCGTTGGTCACAGCGTGCTGCACGTGGGCCAAGGAATGGCGCCAGCTTCGTATCACAATGCACTGCGACAACAAGGCTGTGGTAGATTGCATCCGCTCCGGCACATCCAAGTCACCGCCAGTGATGACCCTGATCAGGGAGCTGTTCTTTGTGTGCGCCCGCTTCAATTTCACCGTCACTGCTGCTCACATTGCTGGCCAGTCAAACTGCGTTGCCGATTCGCTGTCTCGTTTCCGCATGGAGGAATTCCGACGTCTCGCCCCAGCTGCTCAAGCACAACCAGACCGAGCAGTGCTGCCATTCCAGTCGATGTAATATAGCCTTGACATACAGGTACCGATTGTCATTGCTAAATTGCCGTATTGAGAACCTGCGTTGGATTTCATCCATCTGCATGCCTACCTTTATCCATCTCGTGCCTTAATCACTTGTTCTTAGCTCTCGTGCATTGGTGGTGAACGCTTGCTGGGGTGCCGTGTGCTGGTTTTCTGGGAACAGCTTCCTTCAACTGGTTGCTTTGCTGCTACTATCTCTGCTTAAAATTGCATACTATTGGTCGGCTGTTTGCGACGCCAATCAGTAGTCATTGCACCCTGTCGCGGGTACTATTGCCGCTCAAGCATGAGCGATTGCTTTGGCCGTTTGCAACGCCAACTGCTTCACCCTGGTTGGCTGTTTGCAACGTCGATCAGGGAACTTTGCACCCAGTACCCGCGGGTACTGCTGCAGCTCAGTCGTGAGCGATCACTTTGGCTGTTTGCAACGCCAATCGCTTCACCAGTTGATCGAAACCAGCACACTGGTGTACCCCAATCATCCTTGTGCGGTGTTGTGAGAATACGTGGGTATGCATGCAGCTTTGCTCTGTGACTTTCCATTGCATGTAGTCACTTGGCTCTCCCATTTCCTATACACTGCTCTGATGCATTCGGGTGCAAGCGCTAACAATAATAAATAATGGGCGCTTTCGATTACATGTTTACACAATTCTCGAACTGGGTTTTGTAATTCTCGAAAGACCAAAATGTACGAATTCCGGCCATGTAAACGAACAAACAAAATTGGTCATAAAAAGATATCACGTACACCCTCGCGTGCGAGTCGACCCAGCTTCGCGTACCCATCCATCCCGGCGAAGGCTCCATGTTGGGCTTCGATAAAGCTGAACGCCTGTACGAAAAGACCACCCAAAATGATCTGGTCTAATAATCAGCTCCCAGCGGAAACTCAACAGCGGCAATTAGCTTTTCGGGACGACAGAAGTAGCAACTACCGGTACATGCACTTGTTCCTGCTTTCGCGCACCCCGGCCATCAGGGAGGCTCTTCCTTGAATTGGGTCATGCATGACCAGACCGGTAACACACCGAGTGTGCAATTCTGGCGCCAGAATCAGAGAAATTCCGCCCTCTCTTCATAATATATCAGAATTGATGGATTTGACGGAATAGGATAAAATCAATTCCAACGACGGAATTTGTCACTTTTTGTGTAATCGAACCGGGCATCAACAATTACTAATTCTAGAATTGACCGATATGCGTGTAATCGAAAACTCCCAATAACTTTGCCGCCTAAATTATCAATTTCTAGAGCGATATCGGCTAGACCTAGAGCAAACACCAGCATCGATATTTGCAATGGCAGTTGTAAGATTACAGCCTGCACAGCCATGGCTGGTAACTTCCAAAACGGCGAAAGTCGTAACTTCGTATCATGCTTAACATTACGCACACAGAGTTTTGGCTACTACCCGTCGATATCTCGTCTACCCCAAGATACCTGAAAATGCTGATTTACTCTTATCTTCTGTTATAAGTACTGAAACATCATGAGAAAGAATTTTCAAGAAGACGATGTTGAGAATACAACGATGCATCGCCATGATTTCTATACAGAACCCTTCTTGTTACTGAAATACTTGAACTGTCTGTATGAGCTCCGAATCCTTTACCCTGCAGACAACCAGCATGGATCAGGTGCATTGTACACAATAGTGTAGCCTACATACTAGAGATTTACAATTAGTGCCATCATCTTGTTATGCTCCTACCTGCGGAAGGATGCAAAATCATGCTCCACATTTTCCGCTATCAAATTACGGCAATATTTATGCGGCCACAATCGGAGCCTACACCCGTCCCTGACATTAACATTTAAATTGAAACCTCGGAGGCCACATTTAAAGGTACAAGTAACGGCATATTGATAAGTGTCAGGTTAACCGTTTTCCCGAAGGACTTGACGTCCGCATCTGCACATATTAGGCATGAATATGTTCATAACGGGGAACGACAATTCACGTGTAACGTCATAATGTCCACTAGCACCACAAGTTATTTTGATAATCATCTCTGTAGATAACATTGCACGACACTGGCCAACGACACTGACGTTCTACAAGTACCTGCCAATCAGGTATGGCACGTATTGGACGGGCACTGCCTAGGATATGTTCAGAGTGGCTTCCAAACCAGATTACGTTGCCCTAGGAGTATCAGTTTGTACCCTTCATTCTGAAGAAGGTGCATTTTTGGTGAGTGATAGATACTTTACTTATGTCAGGTTATCAGTTCAGCGCTTCAGAGTTTTGTTGATCACGACATTGACAATGACAAGTTGTAGTGATATTTTACCACTTACTTGTAAACGACAAGATTCTGCTTTCGCAAACCGACATGTTTTTGTGCGACAGTTGATAAATGAGCCATGTATGTTCACAGCTTGAGATGGTGACAGCAAGTTGCCATATACTTGAAGATGGAACCATACCTTCAATTGTCTCGCATTGCGGGCTGCCATAATTATGGCAAACCTCTTTTTTTCAACGATCATAGCTTTTTGACACACTAGAACACGATAACAGCAAGCTCAGAGCTAACCATTTTGCATCCTTAAAATTATTTTTCGCAGCGTGAAGTGGATACGAGTGGTATTGGCTCTGTTATGCACTGATCCTGTAAGTCGTCCATTGGTCAAATTGAATTTCTCCTACCAGAGTTGTCAGTGTTCAGTGAGAAATGGAAGACCTTGAGGAGTTAAAGTCTGTCTGTAGTGTGGAGTCTAATGAACTGCCACCAATGCCGCCATTGATGAAGTCAAGGAGGAATATGCTTAACCAAAGTTCGAGAGATCATGGTCCATCGTCCGTTCCACCATCTTCTGAGTCAAACATTGGCGACCCGAACACAGAGAGAGCGTGGTGCATGAGTTCTGCTTCACCGGAAAACCGAGAAGACACGAGTAATATACCCCCTGATTATACCAGTAGCATAGTTTCTGTTTCTCCTCCGCCATTGATAAAATGGACGAGGAACACAATTACTTCAGCCAGTGTTTCTAATCGTAATCCAGCTCTCGAACAGACTATTCTAACCGCCGGAAAAAGCGAAAGTAATGAAGTACGGTCTAGTACATTGGCTGAAATTGAGGACGTGGTGAACTGGACTTCAAAGTTCAGCGCGTATGAAAAACGGGCATCGCCTGTGAAGCCACCTCTTCAAATTGAAATGGACGTCGTAACTCCAGCGAAAGCGTCATATACTGGTGTTTCTGCTGGAAGGACACCTGAAACATGGAAGCAACCTGATGCATTTGGCATACCAGTTGAACACAGCCGTCCAATCGGACAAAATGCTTACTCTTCTAAGGTTATGGCTCAGAATCAGGATCAAGACAAGCGTTCTAAGTGTAAGACATCAAGGAGGTGTCAGTTTTGCCAAAAACAGTTCAAACAAGTTTCTCACCTCCGCGAGCATAAACGTATTCATACAGGAGATCGACCATTCGAGTGTGATGTATGCGGGATGTCTTTCACTCAGTCAAGCACTCTATGTGTCCATAAACGTACTCATACTGGAAATCGACCATTCAAGTGTAAGACATGTGGCACGTCGTTCACCCACTCACTCGATTTACGCAGACATGAACGTATCCATTCAGGAGAAAGACCTTTTACGTGCAAGACATGTGGAAAGTCATTCAACTGATTACACAATCTACGTACCCATGAACGTATACACACAGGAGAACGTCCGTAAAGGTGCGAAGAGTGCGCAAAACGTTTTCCGGTGTGGATCATGTCTTCGTGGTTTTCCGGTGTGGATCATGTCTTCCTTAACACGAGCGTGTTCATAACCTAAAATGAAAACCATACTTGTCGTTTGAAAGTTTTTTACTGACTGTAAAAATGCATTTCTCCTTTTCGTTCTAATAAATTCTACGAACAAGTAGGTGAGAGAGAGAGTGAGTGCATGAGAGTGTATGTGTATGTGTGAGAGAGGGAGTGTGCGTGTTTCTTAGAATTTAGAAAGAGAGAACCATTTTCAGCAGTTTAAAAAAGTCCAGTTTTTTAACGTAGCCACAAATGTGATATGTTATGATTGTGGAGAACCGTAATGTGATGTGGATTATTTTGTTTTGTATTTGTGTTCTACTCGTTGGTCTTGTTCTCATGTATTATGTGGAATTATTAATGAACCTACCAAGCCTAGCGTCACGAGGACTGGTATCGTTTACCAACGGATCCAGTATTGATTGTTCTTAAATCCTCCCGAAACTTCTACTCATACCTGAAGAAGAACGGCATCGAACATTTAAATCCTTTCCACCACGGACAGACTACAACGTCATTCGCTAATGATTGGGGCAGAAAATTCTGAACGGAATAAACTAACTACTAGTACCTTGAGAAAAGGTAAGGAATGATCTTTAGCTAGGGTGGCACTCTTCCAGGTGAAGGATGTGTTGTAAGGTGTAACACCTTTGAATGTTTCTACTGATGCAGGTCATGTATTCACTTTCTACCCTTTACTCGCGTGTTGACAAGCTGATTTGGAAGAAATAGAGAGTGGTTTTTGAACAGTTGCATAACGTAGGAGGCTCCTTGTCACAAGCCAAACAGCAAGTGTTTCTACCTCTCGTTTTGATTCACCATTCCACAAACGTAACGTCGTTACTGTACTATAAGAATACGGTATTATTACTCTTTCATTCTCATGCCAAACAACTAACTCCAGTAAAGCAAGACCAACAACTAGTGACCTGCACCACCGAAGCAGGAACCTAAAACCCACACCAAGGGAAACAAGCCCCCTCTACGCCTACGGATCACGGACTACCGATCCTAGCGTAGAGGCAAATGATACATACTAGTACAAGTAGATGACAAAAACGGTGCCGGTGTTAGGTGACAGTTGCATACGAATGCATGAAAGGGGTCAGACAGTTCATGTATCATGTGAACCGGCAGTTGTAACTGGAACCGACTGAAAGTCAATACATCAATAGCAGTGTTAGTCATACATGAAGTTCAGACGTCACTACAGAAAGTGTAGCAGTGGATACAAAGTGAGTTGCATACGACGGGTGTTGCTTGTCGCCAACGTCGCCTACGGGGGCAACAGCCGAAAAAAGCTCTTGTTTACGTCACTATTACCATGGAAATGGCTGAAAAAGGTCCTACAAACGACTTTCAGCCGGCTTGTTTCAGCCACAGCTTGTACAAGCGGCTGAAAGCCGAAATTCAAAAAATAATTTGAGTGCGCTGGGAGCACACCATGTTTGCAGCTAGTTGACATGATGAACCGATATTGATGTTCATTCTTGTGTCCGTGGAACCGTGCTATCCCTGTGCCTTTGGTTTTGACCGTGAGTCTGTCTATCCAACTACAAACTGTACACTGTATTCAGTTTGATTTGGATTTTGTCCGACGACCCTGGATTTCTGCCGCTGTGCCTCTAGACTGCTGCGTAGATTGTTGGAGCTGTGGTTTGAGGCCAAGACAAGGCACCACACTCACGACCGAATTCATGAAGAAAGCCGGGTACGAAGAAGAGAGTGGATTGCAACTGAGTTGAAGAACGGCAACCGGCGGGGCAGAAAGCTCGACATCAGGAAACACCACCCGAACTATCGCGTCCATGCACACCGAACAAATAAAAAGAGCACGACTTCGCAATTCAGAATCCGGGCTTCCTTTGCTTCTTCATCAAAACTGAACACTAGAACAAGTACTGTTGTTGTAGATCGCGAACGTTCTGCTTTCCGGTTTCTTGCAAACATTGGTGTGTTTCGAGATATTCAAAATTTGGCGGGTAAGAAAAACAAGCCATTCAAGCTTTGCACTCAAGTCTGGTGTGACCGCGTCACAGGGACCACGCAAGCCAGCTGAGCGCCAGCGATAACAAGCCCAAAGTGGCTTGTTTCGGTGTGACCGGGGCCTTAGGAATAGAAGTCATTGATGACCAAACTGAAAAGGCGCGTTGCGTGGCATGACAATGGACATCAGGACATGATAGCCACACTGTGACAACATGCACAACGAGAACGTGTTTTGTCACTCACATAAAAGTTACGGTAAATAGGGAGAAGGACAAGATATTACGACTTATGATTGGTCACTGTCCACAAACGTAACCAGATCATATACAGTCAACGAATGCGACAAAATGGCAAAAAAATGACAAGGAGTATTGAGACATTCAGATTTGAGAAATTTGAAATCCTTTCCACCACGGACAGCCTACAAAGTAATCTGCTAAAGATTGAGAAATAATCTACGTGGAAGTAACAGTTTCGCAATCTGTAACATCGCATGCAACGACACAAATCCACACAATTCAGTAGACACTTTCGATTTTCAAGCTCCGATGATCAGTGGAAATGCGGTTCTTTTTCTTTCCTTTTTTTCTCCATACAATTATTCTCTTCATTTCTGTTAACATCTTTCATCTTGGCAAATTGTGTTTTCTTGTTCATCAAGCCAACATTGCCGCACCTTAGAAGAGTTCCTGGGGCAGCATCGCTTAGCCACGCCAGTATCCCAGAGGATGAGGGCCATCGCCCCCTGACGCTACCAATGAAAATAGTCCAAATAAAAGCGCTGAGAAAGCAGAGAGCTTCGTCCTAAATTGCAAGGCCATATACTGGCGGATAGTAGAACACCTCTTCGAGCGCTGAGAACATGTCCCCCATCATCCTTTTGAATTTTCTTGAAATAAACAATTTTGAATTTTTCTACCCCGCCATGCTGAATTACAATGTACGTCCAAACTCATACCTGCGGAGGAAGGCTTATCCCTCCGCTACGTCTAGTCAGCAAAAGACCTTTTGCAAAATATGTCAGATGGTTCTAAGCTTAAAGGCCGCCGGAAGGCTATGGTCACGGATACTGGTATCCTCTTAAAACCGATCCAGTGTTCATAATTATTGATAATATCTTCAGAGACGTCTACTGAAACCAGCAGAAGAATAGCAGATATGAGAAAACTGAAATCCTTTCCACCACGGCTAAAGATTGAGAAATAATCTACGTGTAGATAACAGTTTCGCAATCTGTACCTTCGCATGCAACAATTCAAATCCACACAATTCAGTAGACCCTTTCTTCTATCAAACGTTTTCTTTCCCTTCTCTTCAGAATAGTACAGGGAATGTTGATAACAGTTTAATAATTATGAAAAGTATGAATGCCACAGATATCACCACGGAACATGACAACTTGCTCAAGGTTTGAAACTGTGTGTTTCCAGAATCGATTTTCAAGGTCCGATCATCAGTGGAAATACGGAACTAACGTGATCAAGCGAAAAAGGAAGGGTAAAAATCCAAGTAAGTCACGGTTACAAATGAGGCGCAAGTATTACAAGAAGTGAGGCCGAAGATACAGATGTGAAAAGTGGGCATGAATAGTGCAGCAATAACTAAGAAGAAGGGTGATTGAGGCTGAACATTCTGAAGTGAATGGCCTAACTTGCTCGAGAGCAGGTAATGATGGTGATGATGATGGCGATGCGGACTACAACAGGATATAATCACAGTGGCTTCCAAATCAAATTACATTGCCCTGGGATTATCAGTTTTTACTCTCCGTTCTGAAATTATGCATTTTGAGTGAGTGATAGATCCTTTACTTGTGTCAGAATCACAGTTGAGCAATGAAAAACAGATTGTATTATTGACACCGACAAATAAATGCAGGAGTGATCATTTGTCACACAAACGACAAGATTGTCCTTTGGCAACTAAAAATTTTTCGCGCGACAATGGATGCAAAAGTCCTTGACAGCTGGAGATGGTGACAGCAACTTTCCATATACTTGGAGTTGAGAACAAACGTATAATTGTCACGCATTGCGGGTTGCCAGGATTATGGCAAACCAATTTATATCAACTGAAATGGCATTTTACACACTAGAACACGATATTAGAATGCACAGAGCGAAGCATTTTGCATCCGTGGTTTTATTCTCTGCGCGAAGTGGTTACCAGTAATATTACATGTGTTATGCAAGTTCCCTTCCAGAGTTGCTGCAGTCAAGAGAGAAATGGAAGACTTTGAGGATTTGAAGTCTAACTGTAGTCTGGATTCCTGTGCACTACCACCAATGCCGCCATTGATGAAGTCGGAGAGGAAGAAGCTCGACCAAACTTCTAGAGAGCATGGTCCATCGTCCGTCCCACCGTCTTCGGGGTCAAACATTGGCGAAGCAAACTCAAAGAAAGCGTCGTGTATGAGATCCGCTCCACTGGAAAACAGAAAAGACACGAGTAATATACCCCCTGAGTATACAGGTATCATAATTCCTGTATCTCCTCCGCCATTGATAAAATGGACGAGGAACACAATTTCTTCAGCCAGTATTTCTAATCGTCAGCCAGCTTTGGAACAGACATTTCGAACCGCCGACAAAAGCGAAAGGGATGAAACAGCGTGTAGTACATTGTCTGAAATGGAAGACGTGGTGAACTGGACTTCACCGTTCAGCGGGTATAAGAAATGTGCATCGCCTGTGAAGCCGCCTCTTCAATTTCAAATTGACGTCTTCACTCCAGCCACAGCCCCATATACTGGAGTTTCTGCTGGAAGGACACCTGAAACATGGGAACAACCTGATGCGCTTAGCATGCCAGTCGAACGCAGGCGTCTTATCGGACAACATTCTGACTCTTCTAAGGTTATGGCTCAGAATCAGGATACGTACAGGCGTTCTAAGTGTAAGACATTACAGAGGTGTCAGTTTTGCCAAAAAGAGTTCAAGGACGCTTCTCACCTCCGCGAGCATGAACGTGTTCATACTGGAGATCGACCATTCAAGTGTGATTTATGCGAGAAGTCTTTCACTTGCTCAAGTAGCCTCTGTGTTCATAAACGCACTCATACTGGAGATCGACCATTCAAGTGTGATGTATGCGGGAAGTCTTTCTCTCGGTCAAACACTCTGTGTGTTCATAAACGTACGCATACTGGAGATCAACCATTTAAGTGTGATGTATGCGGGAAGTCTTTCACTCGGTCCTGGAGTCTATGTGTTCATAAACGTACTCATACTGGAGAGAGACCGCACAAGTGTAAGACATGTGGCACATCGTTCACACAATCGTCCCATTTACGCGCACATGAACGTATCCATTCTGCATAAAGGCCTTTTACATTCAAGATATGTGTAAGGTCATTGAGTCGGTTACACAATCTACGTCACCATGAACGTATACATACAAGAGAACTTCCGTAAAGGTGCGAAGAGGACGCCAACGTTTTCCGGTGTGGATCATGTCTTCCTAAAGACGAGCGTATTCGTAACCAAAAATGAAAAGCATAAATGTCGTTTTAAAGATTTTTGCTATGTAAAAAAAATGCATTTCCCCTTCATCTTTGTAATCAATGTTACGAGCAAGTGAATGACAAAGAGGGAAGGAGAGAGAGAGAGATTTGTGCATGAGAGTGTATGGTTGTGTGAGAGAGGAAGTGTGTGTGTTTCTTAGAAAGAGAGAACATTTTTGTAGCAGTTTGAAAATGTGCAGTCTTTTATACCATTCACACAAGTCTGAACGTAGCCACAAATGTGATACGATATGATAGTTGAGAACCGTAATCTGACGTTGATTATTTTGTTTTGTATTTGTGTTCTATTCAATGGTCTTGTTCCCATGTATTAT